CTGCCCTTGAACCAAGGGACTTCCAGAAACACACAGCTGCCCTCACCCAGGCTGAGCTTGGTGGCGAGTGCTCTGTGCAGGCTTGCTCAGCACTCTGAGCTCTGGCTTGAACTTCACTATTTGCCCAGCCAGGAGCCATTCCACCCTCACCTACCCTGGCAAACACAGAAGCCAAAGGAACCTCTCAAATGGGGACCTCTCAGATGTTTCAAGTCACAGCCCATCCCTACCCCCACAAATGAATCCTTTGCCATCTTCATCAGGAAATGCTATGGGCCCCCTAGCTAACAGCCTGCCTTCTGCTCATGGGGTATAGGGGGCAATTTAGCAGAAAAGGAGAGTGAGAAGGAGACCGAGTAAGGATGGAGGCCAACACCTTGCCAGGGCATCTCTGGCAGGGACAGACCAGCAATGCGTACCCCATTCCTGGGGGAAGTCAGAGGACCATGCCCTCTCTAACTGAAGACAGTCTGCCTCTACTGGACAGCCTGATCTCCAACTGTTGTCTGACAAAACCTGGGCCCTTCCCTGAAAGCAGATGTCATAGCAGTCCTGACACCCTGCACTGAACTTGCCCCCGGGGCCACAGTCAGCATGAGCTTGGCGTGAGGGCGTTGTTCTCAGCAGATCTTGAGTTTTCTCCTACACAGTCCTTCTGACATAAAGGCTCCTTATATTCAACAGTCCTTTCTTACATACTCCATTCAGAAGTGCCTGCAGGGGAATGGGAATCTGGGCCTAACTCATCTGTGGCTGAAGAAATGCTTGATTAATGGATAGTTCAGGTTGCCCAATACATCCATATCCCTTTTCAGAAAGTCAAATTGCACAAATTCAAACTTCTGATCAATCAGAAACCACACATGCATTTGGTACACCTGCCCACCCAACCTGAACTGGAGCTGGCAATAGGCCCCTGGCAACTATCCGTCTGCATTCCAAGTACTTTCATTGCCAGACAGAGCAGAAGGAGCGATGACTGAAGAGGATCTCTACAGAGCTGCAGTTGTGTTATGGGATGTGGTAGAGGTTTACAGCCCCGCTGTCTGCCCCTCTCATTACCCTGCCCCTCATGATCCAAGCAAGTTACACTTGTACTGGAGAGATCCAGGGTGCCTCCTTTCACTGCTGGGTTCTATAGGTTGCATCAGAATTGGCACACATGGATCTTCTTGCTCTAAGGATTGCCAGCAGTGAGTTATAATTCAGTCTGGGGTTTTCCAAAAGTGCAGGACGAGAGGGAATTGTGTGTGTAGGGGGCAGGGTAGTCATGGAGTCAGTGCAGTGCTTGAGTGTAGGGAGTTTCTGTTTAGTCCTGCTCACTTAAGTACAAGCTATACCTTAGCAAAAGGAAGAGCTAGGTTTTGCTACAGTGGCCATGTGCTCTATCCCTCTCCCCCACAAAACAGCTCAGCTACCCTGCATAGCTACAGAAGCAGAGCATGGCATGCCACAGGCTTGTTGGGCAATTGCTTGAAGAGGGCAGGATTAAGGTGACACTAGCAGGTACCTTCACCCTGCATCCAGGCTTTCAGCAGTTTCAAGTTTCAACATTCTGGGATGGCACAAGAATGTCATCAGGCCTTCTTAACTCCATATTAACAGCGCTCTCTCCCCCTCACACCAGGAGTTAGCTAGCCTTCTCTCTGATAAGAAAAGTTTTCTTACTGTCCATTCAGGCTGTTGTTACACAGGTAAGGTGCTGCTGTGGCTAATGGAAGCTATGCAGTTCCAAAGGGGTCCAGCCACTCCCAAATGCTTTGTTGCAACAGAGTGGTGATCACGGTCCTGTCCCAAAACATGCAATGACTGGTGCTACAGAGAAGGCAGTAACTGTCTTAAATGTAGTCTATATCTCAAAATCCTGAAAAAAATTCTTATAGCTAACCCAGAATGGCAGTTAAGTAGATGATAAGACTTGTGTGTCTTCTCCACCCATCTCCCCCACAACAGAGAGCTCTTCCCTACTACTGGTTTCAGCTAGATGCAATATGAAGGGGATGTTTATGTAGCACTTGAAAAGCCATTAGCACATAAGTTGTTTCTTGCTGCTTGGTATACCATATTGCTGCACGCACAGCCTACCAGAAGGCCACATGCCTGAGTGGGTCAAATCATGGGATTTCTAGCTCTGGAGAAAATTGAATGCTTAGAAATTTGATTTTATTATGATTCACAGCCAAACCAAGTTTCCCAGAATTTCTCAAGAAAAAGAAGTTCAAAGAAATATCAGAAACATTAAATCTGTGGTGCTTCAGAAATAAACCAGGAGCCACATACCTGTTGGGTGAAGCCAACAGGAATCATGACGAATTTGCACTACCTACTGAACAGCAGCTGTCAGTTTTACACAGCAGCTGCCAATCTAAGCTGCCTGAGCTGCTTGCCTGGTGCTCCTGACAGGACCACAGAGAAGCATGCTGGTCTACACTTGCTCTTGCTCGGTACACATCAAATCCAGAAACAAGGCAGAAAAGCCACCACGAGGTCTCTCTCTCCATTGCTTTCACTCTGGGCAATGATTAACCCCAATCACAAAACACGCTGGTTGTATCCCATCCTCTCCTGCCATACCTCATTTCCACATCTCTCTACCCAGTATAGTCTATCCCCACTGCCCAATTGTCCTCCCAACAGAGGGGATAGGCATCAGTAGGAAGAGCTGGAGAGATGACAGAAGGACATTGTGGATGGACTAACATGGAGGGGAAACAGGTGTAACAGGGCACGAGGGCAAGGATGGCCCAATGGCTAGGACCTAAGACTCATTCAATGCCTTCCTCAACAATAGATTTCCCATGCAACCTTGGGCAAGTCACATCAGCTGTGTCAGTTCCCATCTGTTAAATGATGTTAGTGGTGCTAGAAAGGATAAATACAATAAGGGGATGCTCTGTCACTATGGCAACAAGATCATATAATTACTGCTCATTCACTGATGTGGGAGTTTTGTGGCAGACAAAACCTGCTGCTCACCCCCCCTGCACAGCTCCAACCCTCTCCTTCCCATCTAGTCCTTCCAACTCTCCATATTCTCCAGTGCCCTCTCCATCATGGCCAGGTGCTTTGAGCCACCTCCATCCTCCTCCATGCTATCTCATATGCCCTGATCAGCTTGGGAGGTGATAGAGCTGTCCCAGCTGAAGGCAGGATGGGACAGGAGAAAAGCAGAGTTGTTAAACTCCTAACTCCAAATCTGGGCCTGGTACACAGGGATGGAGCCCCTACATGTTCCTCCACAGCACAGAAGGCCCAAAGAATACGAAGCTTATGACATGGGGCAGGGAGAAGGGCTCAGACCGCAGTACATACTGGATAGGAGGAAGAGACTAACCAGCCTCCACCCCTAATCCTGCAGCCCCCTGCTTCCCCTTCCAGTTGCCAGCCCCTCTCCTTGGTATGAGCCCTTTCTGGTTAACCGCTAGATGGGCTACTCCTCATTCATGTATTTTAATGAGCCCACTATCACCTGTGGGAAGCCAGGAGGATGACAGTGGGAGTTTTACAAGCTGATGACAGAGGATGCCTCTCGAGGACTAGACTGGCTATAAAATAAGATCAAGGAGTCAGAATAGTCTAACCAGGTGATCTGCTGTTGGTCTACTTCGCTGAACCTGGAGCATGGGCCTGCATTGTCCTCCACCCCACCCACCTCCTTGTAGGGCAGCCTCCAGGGACCGGAAGAGCCAGGGCTGATGCACTGCACAGACACAGCCAGACCCTCCCTAGCACCCAGCTCCATTTCTCCCTACACTGGCCACTGCCATCTCTCTTGCTCATTCCCTCCCAGCAAACCTTCAAGGCACGGTTTGTTGCTGTTCTGGAAAGAGCTAGAGCCATTTCTGAGTTGCCTGCTATGCTCTGATCACGTTTCCCGGAAGGAGAAAAACCCCTTGACGGGGGCTGAGAGGAGCAAGCAATACACCCTGGCTCAGTCTCAGATTTCAGCCAGGGGTAGGTTCATCCTCAGGGTAGGTGGCCACAGCCTGTCCCCAGGAACCACTCCCTCCATCGTGCAGGTGCTTGGTGGGCGCCACCGGAGCCAAACGAACTCTTCCCTTCCTCAGGCTTCCCCCTTTGAAGGGCAGGTGCCAAGTACTACGCAAGGTAAACAAGGAGCACCAGAGCTGAGAACGACCAGAGCCCCTGGCCGACCTGGAGAGGACCCCCCGGCAGCCAGGGCAGGCGAGTCCCACAGCGCTGTCCACTCCTGGACACCAATGCCAGGGCTCGGCCTGCAGGATGCAGTCCAGTACTGGCTGGCACAGCAACACCGTGCCTTCTTCAGAGCGAGGCACCCCTGAGGAGAGACTGCACACCCAGCCCACAGTCGGCTAAGCAGCTCCCAAGGAGAGGTGGGTCTGGAAGCATTTCAAAACCTACTTTTAAGCAGAGGGAACTTGTCAAGGGTGACATGGGACAGCTGGCACTGCTGGGCCCTAGAGATGGAGGATGCCTGACAAGTCCCAACTATGCCAGCCCCTGTGGGGACCCCGCCCCCCAACTACAGCACCTCTTGCAAGCCCCTTCCCTGTGGGTGGCATGGGAGCCAGAGCCAGGGTGGACCCAGCGCACCTGGCACATGGCAGTGCCACAGCCGCCTGGGGTGCCCAGCAGCAGCAGGTAGCATGCTTAGGGGGTGCAGCCAGGCAGAGGTGCACCTTGCAGACTGACTAGCTCAGCAGTGCATGAGCTTCCGCGAACAGCAGCACAGTGCAAGGGGCTGCCTGGGGAAGGGGTGCTCCCCAGGGCATGGGGAGGGCCTCAGGCTGCTTCACCCCCTCCCAGCAGATGTCCACAGAGGCCCCTCCCCACCGGTACCTGCGCAGCTGCCGCCGCCCGCGGGCTCCAGCCCTTTAACTCTCCTCCCCAGCTGCGTGCACTCTGCGTTCGATTCCCCAACCTGGCCGCTCGGCGTTCGATACCGGTGCCTGGCGGG